TTCATGGTACACTTCTTCTTGGCGGTATCAAATCGCTTGCCTTCTCTTGTGCTTGTCTCTGTGCTGGATTAAGTAGCGGATAATAATTTCTGCCGTTTACTTCAAAGTTTCGTTTTTTCCTGAACGGTTCTGTGTTGAAAGAAGCGTATAGGCAATGGAGGGAAACCATGGGCAAGGATGCAGTCTCATTTCAAGAAGTGTCCACATGGCCAAGAGGCTGAAAGCTGGATCCCTGGCTCGACTAAGGTGCTGAACGGGCTACGCGGCCCTCAGAAAGTGTTTTCTTTTGCCTATTCTTCATCAGGCCGCGGAGCTTCAGAAGTGGCCCGGGTGCCATGGAAAGCGAAGGGCAGTCGGATCAGAAAACACATGCCTTTGGAAACTTTGGCCTCGTAGCACTCATGTGAGACACTGAGAGAAGCCAAGCTGGAACGCAAGCTGCTGCAGCAGCAGGCCTTCGAACATCCGCCGGGAACGGGGGGGGGGGAGGGTGTAGAGTCGGTTGAGGGCACCAGCACTCAGAGCACGAAGCTTCTCTACTTGGTAGAGACGCTGTTGATGGCACCAAATCTCAGACACAGCAACGTGGCTCCGGTGCCCTGACACAGCTAGGCCTACGTCCATGGACTCGAGCATGCTATAGAGGCCTAGAAAGGCACCACCAATCAACACCCCTTGTATACAGGGTAGGGTTGGGGCAAGCATTGGTAGCACGGGGATAGTCAGGAGTGGATGGTCAGCTTTGTTGCATCTGCTTTATTTGTTGTTTTTCCATCACTGTATCCTAGTTGTTTTTCCCCGTCTTACCTGCTATTTTTTGCATTTCTGGGGAACTTCTGTGGTCTACATACAGCCCATGCTTTCCCCATTCACTTTTTCCATCGCGCCCTCTGCTCTGTTCTGTGTTACCTTGCTTGTTGCCCCTCATTCGTTCCATCCTGCTGTTCAGTCCCGGGCTCTCTCATTCAAGGCCCCGTTCTACCTCTAATGTGCTAATTTTTAGCTCTCTGTGTGTCTCTCCTGTTTTCCTTTCCTACCTTCTCATTCGTTAAGCCAGTCTATGTTCCAGGATATAATTGCCTTTGGTTAAAGGTTGTTCGTAGAACACTTAGGGATTCTCAGAGATTCAGGAATTCCAAGTTTCTCACCAAGTCACTTTTTGCAGGCCCCGTGCCTTCTCGGAGATAGGCAGACGGCGAGGGCCCCAGGGGATGCAGGGCGCTCTAGAGATACGGGGTTACGGGTCAACAGGCCTGTCTCCCTACTACGTCCTACTTGTCACTCAAAGGCCAGGGTGTTCGTGGACCCTTGACGTCTCGGGGCGACTTCGAGAACTGGGTGTCTGTGGGAGGTGTCTTGGCACAGACTGCAAAACGAAGGTCAATGAGATTGCTGAGCCAGCTGCGCGGGGAAACGGTTATCGCAGCATGTTCTTGATCTTCTCGCCACATAAGGAAGCAACCTTGGAGTGGCAACTGTCTTGGCCCCGGACTGCCGCGGATGAAGTTGGCTCTGTGAAAGACCCAGCATCCACTGAGATCGTGACGCTGTTTGATTACGGGAACATCAAGCAGTAGCCTGCGGGAACGTCCTCGGCAAACGGCCGCAAAGCAGCAACTGTGCGGCTGTGCTGAATCCTTACCCAATGACTGAAACTTAGCAATGTGCATTGGATTCTTTGAGGATGCTGTAGGGCAACGGCAAGGGCACCGGAATTGAAGCGTTCGACTGGTGGACTCACAAATGCGTACCGCGGAGACCTTCTTGAGCACACAAACCAAACGCGTTCCAAGGAGTCAAACTGCAAGAACTCATTCCTCCATCATTTTTCTACGGAGCGCACCTCGAAACACCACGACTTGTGGCACACACACCGGAACCTGCGACGTGTCCAGCACCTACACCTTGCCCTCGAACATGGCCTTTCCGTCAACCTCTTGCCTCAGGAACAGTCTAGCATTCGCGGACGAAGCGAAAGCAGCTGTAGGAACGATGCATGCTTTTGTTGAACCCTGGGCACATGGGGCACATACTCCATTGACCAACTTCCAAGGATTATGCATGGGCTGCATCTGGAACCAGGCCAGGCGGATGGAAGCTGCAACAGGATTCCCTCCTTCTTCTCAAACAAGCGAGTTATCAGGCAAAGCGCGCAGGGCCCAACAACTGCATGAATGTTCGAGCGGCTGCATATGAAGGTCTATAATAATACATTCTTTGCAATAGAAAGGTTCCGGTACATTTAAGCTGTCAGATGCGTTTCTTCACTTAGCAAGTGCCGTGCTGACGATCGGATAGCGCGAACAAGGAAAGCAAGTCCATCGCAAATCAACCTGCAGAGGCGCGGTCCGGATGGCGAAAGGCGCGAAAACGAACTCACCGCACCGTGGCCACGACATCTGCCAGGACACACGGAGGTATTCTCGTTTTTGAGAGATCATCTCACTCCTCACCCCTCCGTCCTACGCCTTTCCAGTGCTCCGACTCCAAAAGAGTGGTCTGCGTTTTGGGATTTCTGGATCCCATTCGTGGCACGCTTCGTGGCTCTCGGACTGAAGCCCGGGTCCCGGACGTCATCGCCTGCAGACGGGCTGCGGCCGAACGCATCCAGGAAGCGGTGCGTGACATCCAGCTGTCCATCAAGGCCCTGCCGGAGTTCGTGCCTTTTGCGCAGTGGCGAGACCACATTTTTTTGCCACTTGACAAACCTTGCGGTACATCGTGCTGGGCCCTAGACTCTAGACTTGACCATCTGTCGCTGGGAAGCTCTTGTCCTCGTGCCGCTGCACCTCACACACAAATGCTTCAGCAATCGCGCCTTGCTCAGTTTATTCATTCTTGCATTCAAGAGACGACCAGCCATGCCATGATGTAGGAGAAGGCCCTCCTGCGGAAGCTGAGACTCGCTCCCCTGTCCGACTATGTGCATCTGACATCTCTGACAGCACCCGGAACGAAGTTGGTTGATCATCAACATCAGTGTCCGGCAGAGATGCGCACTGCAAAGTGGAGCTTCAAATATGAAAGAACTTTCTGCACCTGCCGTTACTTCCACTACCCACCTTTGCGGGTAACAAAGAAGGATATCCTGTCAAGAAGGTTCTCGAGTGGCCGAGCACTTCCGGCAGCAGCATCTTGCAGAAGTGTGACGACATGAAGCCGCCTTCGGTCGACTTCAAACGGAGCACATCATTGCTGTGTTTGCACAATCAAAGGGTCGCTGGACCTCCCAAATGCCTGGAGGATTCTAGAAGCAGGGTATGCTGTTGTGTGATTGCTCTATGCTCTGATCTGTCATGTCGAGCAAGTGGGGTTTGTTCTCTGCATGAACACGCCCAAGCCTCGAGCCGACATCACGATAGGACGCGCTGCCCCCGCTGACGACACGAGATATGACAAGGGAAAATCAAGTCACAGGAATGAAAGTCTCCGCAACTTCTGTGCACATAAATCGCAGGTGCAATCATGCCTTTCTTGAACACGCGCTTGACCTTGCATCTGTGATCCGCAAGTCTAAAGTCACAAGTATCTGCTGTTCATATAGATGTCTAATAGTTCTCTGCAATCGTCTCGTCAAACTCGCCCTCGAATTCGCCGTTGTTGTTAATCTTGGAGCTCTCAAAGTAGCCATACCACCAAGTGCCCGCACAGTACGTCAGGTGCGGACAGTGAAAGGCCTTCCGAATGGTTTGCTCTGTGCCATCTGGGCGCTTAAAGACATAGCCAAGGCACAAGGCATCATATTTGAGGCCAGGCAGATTGTGAATCTTGTACGCTTTCTTGAGCCTGTCATACACTCCCTTGGTAGTGGTGCGCAAGCGGTACCAGTACCCCCCATATCGTGTCCAAATGTAGTATTTGGTATCTTTCTCGCAGAGTTTGTGGGCCAGGCGGAACCCAGTGTGGCAACTCTTGCAATGGGCTTGTTTATCTGTCGAGCAATCGTCGACCTCGATTCCATGATCACATGTGCACACATTGGTCCCGCAAGAGTTGTCGCCTTTGTCTTTGTGGAAAAAGACATCGCATGAACGGCATGTGTTGCGGCCATGACTTGGGCACTCTTTGCCAGTTGCACTGACGCCATGCTGGCACGTGCAAGTGTTTGATTTACAAACCCAACCGTCGAGGTGGTAGCCAGTCATGCAGCTTGCACAGATCTCAGCTTGATTTTTGACACATCTCTCGCCTGTGGCTGCTTTCCCAAAGGTGCAGCGGCAACTGTTTGACTCGCTGCAGCTATCGCCCTTCTTGCCAGCCTTGCAGGTGCAAGTGCCAGTGCTCGCGTTGCATCACCATGGGGCAGGCACCATCCCTTACGGTCGCAGTTTTCCGCTTTTTTCATCGCTGCTCGCTGTTTGTCCAACTCTTTGTTCAACTGCTCTTCAAGTCGGTCTTGAGAATCAAAACTGCCGATACTCTTTGGCAAGTTCAGGCAGCGTCTGGCCCACACTTGAAAAAGGTCCTGCACCATGCTTCCCCAGGTGTCGCCGCGCACCCAGTGCCAAATTGGAGTGCATTGGTCAACGCTGAGATCAGTCACCCTCCAATTTGCATTGGATGTCGCCAAAGACTTCCGCCAGAGCGGCAGAGACACCCCGCTTGCACCCCCGAACACATCAACCTGGATGTCGCTGAATTGCATCTTTCTTCTGTTTGCTTCACCTTCCTGACGCCCGTAGCTGTCGTCTGTCTTCAAATCCACAGAACCGCCGGCTTTGCCGACGCCGTTCATGCCAACAAACTCTCCTGCAGCCGACGCGGTTGTGGCAAACTGGTGATCAGCAGCTTCCTGGACTACTATACCGCCTACTTCCACCGATGCCTGGAAGGATTGCTTCGTCTTGAAGACACCGCCAACCACCACTTGGCTGCACACATGGCTTCCATAAGTTTCCAGGAATATCTCCACCGCTTTGGTGCGCTTGTCTCCTTGCTTTGCCGCAATTGCGAGAAGCTCCCCTTCAACAGCCGGCAACAGCGCCAGATCCTCGCTGTGAATAAGAGAAACACCGGAAATCTCTGCATCAACCTTCATCTTGACTAGCTCCCTGATGTCTTGATTCTTTCTGCGGGTAATCTCATACTTATTCTGGTCAGCATAGCTTGCTTTGGCACTCAGGCTAACAGCTCCAACTCCCTCGCTCATGAAGAGTGCACCATCTCGGTAGACGGAGGAAGCCAAACTAAAACATCCAGCAGCAATCGCCTTTTCACCGATGGCGGAGCCGATCTGGGACTCAAGCCGTGCTATGCAGACTTCTGCCTCTGTTGTTTCCGCCACCAATTCATCATCGCTGAGTGGGTTCTGCAAGCTCACTACCCTCTTTCTTGAAGCCATGCCATCCAAAGGAATCTTCAGCAGCCTGCCGTTCAGGATTTCAGGATGCTCAATCAATTTTGCATTGGTCAGCGGTTGCCGAGTGGCAACATCCTGGGGCCTGGGAAGAGACAGCTTGTCGCAGCAATTGGTCTAGCTCAAGTTGAGCCTGATTTGTGTCCCACTTCAAGAAATCCGGGACTGGGACTGGCGCTGATGGATCAAGAGATGAAAGCGTGCGCATTAGCTTCTGCAACTTGGTTAGGACGCTACCACTCAGCTTCTCGCGTTTTTTCTGCACATCTGCTTCGACTTGACGCCGTGCCTCGTTGACTTCATCAATAAATGCTTGAAACTTTTCCTTGGCCGTGTTGATGCGATCCATCTTATTCCTCAGAGCCTCAGACTCCTGCTTTTTTGAAGCTTCTACGACCAGCACGCAGCTGCTTAAGCCTCTTAACGAACATGGCAGGTGCATTCGCCTCCTTAATCTTCTCAAACGTGTGAGGCATCTCTTGCTCATTGATGCCATTTGTCAAGGTCAATCTTTGCGTTGTGGGGATGCCGTCCTTCCAGAGACCACCAGCAACTTCGTTGGCAATCCGCCAACTTAGATTCTTTAGCTCTTGGGAAAGCTCACGATCATTCTTCTCGATTTTCTGCAAGCCAAATGACTCTGGTGTCTTCACATCAACCTTCAGCGTCGGCATTTCAGCAGAGGCTAGCCATGTCTTCATGGTCTCTTGAAGAGCAGCATCATCTGCAATCATGTGCTTTCCGTAAAAAACATTTAACTGCACCCCAGACATGTGGTCGCTGCCACCAAGATGAGAATTCACATCCACATTTGCAAGGACCGCCTTGCTGACCTGGCTCAGGTAGCTCCAGCACCGAACAGATGCTGGAATGATGCGAAAGCCTTGTCCGGCTGATGCATGCACTCAATCATCACGTGAACCTCATCTCGGGCGTGCATCTTCTACATCACGTGCGATTCCGATTTCCCTTCTGTGTTGTGAACAGCCACGAAAGACGAACTGGTTGAGCAACAGAAGTACCAACATTACCAACAGCATCGGCTTTACCAATACTATCCATAGAATCAGTTTTGATCAATATGACCAATGTTACCTATTCTCAACATTATCAACATTATCAACCTTTTCAAAACTTACTAACAACAGTATGAATGAACATGTGTCGGCAGAAGAGAGGGACGCGCACCTCGCTAGACTTTAGACTTACTACAGTTCGACTAACAAACTCAGCGTGCGCCATGCAACAGCACAGCCCAGAAAGATGAACTGAGAACCTGCAGCCCGAATTCACACCGACCAGTGTCCGGCCAGGTCAAAGAAGACACATCAGGCATCTTCAAACCAAAACACAAAACACATATGTGACATGTGTCTGTGTGTGTGTGCAATAAATACCGAAATGCGGATCAGGCCACAGCTGACAGATTTCGTGCAAGCCTTTCATCCGTCAGCCTGCGAAACCGATGCACCTCGGAGCGGGCTGAGCTTGACGGGGCAACTCGAAAGCCGCAGTCTCAGAAAGAATTGAAAAGTCAGGGCTGCGGCCTGAATCTGATGTGCGTTTGTCAGCTTCCTGCCCGCGGATTGAATCGAGCTGGCCCTATGTAAACTGAAACCACCCTAACTGCTAACCAGGTCCGGGCATGTCAATGCCGGGGAAGCCAACGTGCGGGGTTTTGGGCTCCAAGCCGGCTTGTTAGCGACTGAATGTTGGACTCCGAATAGTGCGGCGAAGCTATTCGGTGCCCCACTGCGTTTTCGCGGGCTCCCAATTGGGCGATTTTCGGGTGTTGATGTTGTTATTGGTTTGTGGGGTTGTTGCTTTTTAAAGTAATTCAACAGCAAAACACTTCTTAGTCCAAGCTGCTCCTGAGAAAACTGAGGATATGCAAGTAAGATCTGAGGAAAAGTTGAAAGGTAGAAGCTTCTGGACTCAAGCTTGAGCTGCCGCCAGAAAGCGATCGATTTCTTATTGAACTGCTTGCTATAGGATGCCGGAAAATTGCTTTCAAACGGGGTGCTCCAGGAACCACCTGGATCCCGAGCAATGTGTTTATTTTGGGGTCTGGCTATAGCACATGTTTTCCTGCATGGGCACCCGCGCACGCTCTGAGCAAAACTCAAAATGCAGAAACTTCTGGACGCAAGTTTGAGCTGCCACCAGAAAGCAACGGATTCCTTACTGAGCCTATCCGCTCCCTCTATTAACCTCTGGGGCTTTGAAGGCCGCAACGCCAACCTCAAAGGCAGAAGCTTCTGGACTTAAGCTTGAGCGGCAGCCCCGTATAAACGTGAAGAGGAGCCCTGACCGCAGATTTTTGGGGCCCCCTGCCCACCCCCCCCCCTTCCTCAACACTGTATTTATACACTCTGCACCATCCTAAAACCATCCTAAACAGGTTGGTTTTGGAAGGCACCCGGATCCCTGAACCTTAACTCGCTGGAGCCCTCAATCCCACAACTCGTAAGACCAAGCGCGCCAGTCACTGCTCTTTGTGTTCATATTCGTCCACTCCGGCAGCACCACTTTGCTGACATGGCCGTTGACCGCCTCAGCGACAACAAACCGTTGCTTGTGACGGGGCCTGGCCTTTCGACTGCTGAGGCGGGCACAGCATATTCCGAGTAGCAGCAGCAGGAGGCTCCAAGTCCAAGCAGCATTTGCGCCGCTGTCACTCCCGCAGCCGCCGCACCCAGTGCCACAGCTGCCATCACCCCGATTACCGCCACCATCACCGTCACCACCGCCATCAGCACCAGAACGGTGCGGAGGTGAAGGTGACGCTGGAGTCATCATCTTTGCTGCACAGCTAGGGACAAATTCAGGGCTGGATTGGATAACCTATAGGATGCCATGGAATGGGAGTTGTGACAAGTGATGGGATAAGGAAACTGAACCGTGGCTGAAGCAATGCACTCAGCAACTTCTCTTGAACAAATTTTGTTGCGCGGAAAATTCCTTGGTATTGGTTACAACATTTCTTAAAGGTTGTTTTCCGAAAACACGCCGCAAAACTTTTATCTGCTTTCGTTCCCTAGCTCCCCCTTTTATTCGTTCGTTCTGATAACGGGGCTTTGGTTTCAAGCTTTTCAATAGCTTTTTCGGCCTTTTTAATGCCTTTTGTTTTTCTTTTTGTGTTCCCGTTGTCATGTCGTTGA